TGAAAGTATTTTCTTTTTAGGGATTTTCTTTCTTTTTGGGTCACCCTGCCTCGGTGGGAGACGGCCGACTTACGACCGAGTTCGGTTCCGAGACACCGCTCGTAAGTCGAAATGGATGCAAGTCGAACTTTACTACTGAATATCAACATAACATTTTTGTAATGACTTTATTTTATTGTTTTATTTTGGTATTTCATGTTTTACTGTACTTTTTATGCTGTTAGTACTGTATTTTATACTATAAGGTTTAGGATAAACACTGTGTACAACACAAACGCTTGTTTATTTCTCAGAAATTTGGCATAAAAAACACGGTCGTAAGTCGAGTCGTCGTATGTCTGGTAGGTCGTAAGTCGGATGGTAGGTGTATACAGTGGACCCCCGCATAACGATATTAATCCGTTCATGAGAGGTCATTGTTATGCGAAATTATCGTTATGCGAATGAATTTTCCCCATAAGAAATAATGGAAATCAAATTAATCCGTGCAAGACACCCCAAAGTATGAAAAAAAAAAACATTTTTACCACATGAAATATTAATTTTAATACACACAAACTGAAAAAGGCATGCACAATTACATGACACTTACCTTTATTGAAGATCTGGTGATGATTGATGGGATGGGAGGAGGAGAGAGTCTTAGTGCTTAGACGGGGAATCCCCTTACATTAAGACATGAGGTGTCAAGTCCTTTTCTGGGGTTACTTCCCTTCTTCTTTTAATGCCACTAGGACCAGCTTCAGAGTCACTGGACTTCTGTCGCACAACATATCTGTCCATAGAGGCCTGTACCTCTCGTTCCTTTATGACTTCCCTAAAGTGTTTCACAACATTGTCAGTGTAATAGTCACCAGCACGGCTTGCATTAGCTGTGTGAGGGTAATTTTCATCCATAAAGGTTTGCACTTTCAGCCACATTGCACAGATTTCCTTAATCTTTGTAGTAGGCAACTTCTTCAATTTCTCTCTCCCCTCCTCCAAACCAGTTTCCTCAGGTCTGGCCTCTTGCTGTTGAAGTTGATCTAGCAGCTCATCAGTGGTTAGTTCTTCATTGTCCTCCTCCACCAACTCTTCCACATCATCCCCACTAACCTCCAACCCCAAGGACTTCCCCAATGCCACAATTGATTCCTCAACTGGCATAGGATTCCTAGGGTTAGCCTCAGACCCTTCAAAATCCCTTTGGTCTACACATTCTGGCCACAGTTTCTTCCAAGCAGAGTTCAAGGTCCTCTTAGTCACTCCCTCCCAAGCCTTACCTATAAGGTTTACACAATTGAGGATATTAAAGTGCTCTCTCCAAAACTCTTAGAGTCAGTTGAGTTTCTGAGGTCACTACAAAGCACCTTTCAAACAGAGCTTTTGTGTACAGTTTTTTGAAGTTTGCAATAACCTGCTGGTCCATGGGCTGCAGGAGATTAGTGTTATTAGGAGGCAAAAACTTCACCTTAATGAAGCTCATGTCCCCATAAAGTCGCTCTGCCACGTCTGTAGGATGACCAGGAGCATTGTCTAACACCAGGAGGCACTTAAGGTCTAATTTCTTTTCAGTTAGGTAATCTTTCACATTGGGGGCAAATGCATGGTGTAACCAGTCATAGAAAAAGTCCCTAGTGACCCATGCCTTACTGTTTGCCCTCCACAGCACACACAAATTAGCCTTGAGGATATTCTTTTGCCTGAACGCTCTGGGAGTTTCTGAGTGATACACTAATAAAGGCTTCACTTTGCAATCACCACTAGCATTGGAACACATCAACAGAGTAAGCCTGTCTTTCATAGGCTTATGTCCTGTGAGTGCCTTTTCCTCCTTAGTAATGTAGGTCCTGCTTGGCATTTTCTTCCAAAACAGGCCTGTTTCATCACAAAATTAAACACTTGTTCAGGTTTCAGTCCTTCACTGTCTATGTACTCCTTGAATTCCTGCACATATTTTTCAGCTGCTCTGTGGTCCGAACTGGCAGCCTCACCATGCCTTATCACACTATGTATGCCACTACGCTTCTTAAATCTCGCAAACCAACCTTTGCTGGCCTTAAATTCACTCACAACATCACTAGTTGCAGGCATTTTTTTTAATTAAATCCTGATGCGACTTCCTAGCCTTTTCACTTATGATCACTTGAGAGATGCTATCTGTTTTTCATTTATCCACACCAATAAGAGTCTCTCAACATCTTCCATCACTTGCGATCTCTGTTTCGAAAACACAGTTAAACCTTTGGCAAGAACAGCTTCCTTGATTGCCTTTTTGTTGCCCACAATAGTAGCGATGGTTGATTGGGGTTTATTATACAACCTGGCCAGCTCGGAGACACGCACTCCACTTTCATACTTATCAATGATCTCTTTCTTCATCTCTATAGTAATTCTCACCCTTATTCCTGTAGGGTTGGCACTAGAAGCTTTCTTGGGGCCCATGGTCACTTATTTTGCAGATAAAATCACCAAAAACACTGTAATAATACGAAATGTTCCGATTGTATGCTTGGATGTTACCGCGGAGGCTGGCTGGTAAACAGTGCCACCGGCGGAACATGTGAGGCTGGCTAAGGCCGCACATTAGACGTGTCTCGGACGAACAGCGTTGAGCAGGTTTTTTAGCGGTATGCGAGGCAAAATCTTAGCGATAAAATGTATCATTATGCGGATTTAACGTTATGTAAGGCCAACGGTATGCGGGGGTCCACTGTATATATGTATATATATATATATATATATATATATATATATATATATATATATATATATATATATATTATATATATATATATATATATATATATATATATATATATATAATATATATATATATATATAATATATATATATATATATAATATATATATATATATAATATATATATATATATATATATATATATATATATATATATATATATAATATAATATATATATATAATATATATAATATATATATATATATATATATATATATATATATATATATATATATATAATATATATATATATATATATATATATATATATATTATAACTACGTATTATTATTATTATATTTTTTTTTTTTAACAAGTCGGCCGTCTCCCACCAAGGCAGGGTGACTCAAAATGAAAGAAAATACTCTCATCATCATTCAACACTTTCATCTCACTCACAAGTAATCACTGTTTTTACAGAGTTGCTCAGAATACAACAGCTTAAATGCATGTATGTATGAAGATACACAACATATCCCTCCAAACTGCCAATATCCCAAACCCCTCCTTTAAAGTGCAGGCATTGTACTTCCCATTTCCAGTACTCAAGTCCGGCTATATAAAAGTAACCAGTTTCCCTGAATCCCTTCATTAAATATTACCCTGCTCACACTGCAACAGCTCGTCAGGTCCCAAATACCATTCGTCTCCATTCACTCCTATCTAATACGTTCATGCCTGCTTGCTGGAAGTCCAAGCCCCTCGCCCACAAAACCTCCTTTGCCCCCTCCCTCCAACCTTTTTGAGGACGATCCCTACTCTGCCTTCCTTCCCCTACAGATTTATACGCTCTCCATGTCATTCTACTTTGATCCATTCCCTCTATATGACCAAACCACCTCAACAACCCCTCTTCAACCCTCCGACTAATAATAATATAAACTCCACACCTCCTAATTTCCACACTCCGAATTCTCTGCATAATATTTCCACCACAGATTGCTCTTTATAGGTGATAGGTTGGTAGATAGCAACCTCCCAGGGGGGTACTTCCTTCCTGCCAAATGAGTGTAAAACGAGAGCCTGTAATTGTTTTACGTGATGGTAGGATTGCTGGTGTCCTTTTTTCTGTCTCGTAAACATGCAAGATTTCAGGTACGTCTTGCTACTTCTATTTACACTTAGGTTACACTACACATACATGTACAAGCATATATATACACACCCCTCTGGGTTTTCTTCTATTTTCTTTCTAGTTCTTGTTTATTTCCTCTTATCTCCATGGGGAAGTGGAACAGCATTCTTCCTCCGTAAGCCATGCGTGTTGTAAGAAGCGACTAAAGTGCTGGGAGCAAGGGGCTAGTAACCCCTTCTCCAGTATAAATTACTAAATTTAAAAAGAGAAACTTTTGTTTTTCTTTTTGGGCCACCCTGCCTTGGTGGGATACGGCCAGTTTGTTAAAAAAAAAAAAAAAAAAATGCCCTTAGACAGGTCATCTCCACCGCTTCCTCGCTGCAGCATTTACAACTGCTTTACTGTCTCTTAAAGAGACACTGAAGTGGGTTGGCTCCAACTGGCTGCCTGCTTCACACCACTGCCTAACTCTCCACGCACCTAGTCCTTGTGTTCACAATGTTCTTTTTATCACCTTGTCTTGTCTCTGGATATTAACCATGGTATGAAAAAGGAATACTAGTAATACTGGAGGTGCTAAGACAAGGACTAAAAGTGAGTGAGTGTTTATAAAAGAAAAACAAGAAAACTGTGAAGAAATCATAGCTCCAACCATTGTATCAGCTAGGTTTTGGGTATGTATCATACAATTTTCTTTTACAATGGTTTTGTTGGCATATATGTTATGGGCACATAAATAGTACATTATGCAAATTTAACCTTGGATAACCCATTCAAGTCACACATTGTACACATGTTCAAGAGAAAACTTTGCTACGTCCTTCTTGAATGTGGCGAGGTTTAGACTCTTGAACATGTGCACAAAGTGTAGGGTAACAGGAAATCTCTCCACACATTTCTAAATCAACAAGAAACATCTACAGTTTGAATTGTCAAAAACATAATTGACAATTTAAAAATTGAAAAATTTTGATGGCTTTCTTTAGGGTGTTATAGCACATAACTCAATTTTTCCCTTATGTTGTTCACTCCACCTGTCATGTTTTCACTTATAGCTCTGTTTTTCTGGAACCTAACTGACATGAAAGGTGGTTGTCTACTGTACCATGACCAAAATAGTTTGTGAGCTATATAATAATTAATGTTTTTTACTAGTGATGTATATTGCTGACTCTTTGTATTCCACAGGGTGGTGACCTTTTTGATGCCATTGCCAGTGCTACTCGCTATACAGAACAAGATGCCAGTTCTATGGTGAGAGACCTGACCTCAGCTCTTGATTACCTCCACCAGAGGTCAATAGTACATAGGGATATAAAACCTGAAAACCTCTTGGTAATGTCCTAATTATATTTGTTTATTTTGAATAGCTAATGTAAGGATGTTAGAGTAGTTGTTCAGTAGAGAAAAAGAATGTGATAGCATGTGTAATTTTTCTGTTTGCAGTTAGAGAAGAGCTGTGCCTGTCTCGTCATCAATTTATAATACAGTAGATATTCACTTATCGTGTAATCAATTATTTGGCTTCCAACTTTATCTAGCAATTGTGTTCAGTCTACGGAAATGTTGCATAATCTGGTGATCTTAGAAAACTGCTGCTTCAATATTCAAATGCCAATAGACACTTCAGTCATTGACAGAAAAAACAAACTGTAATTCTGGGTTTTGTGCATAGTGATAGTGTCTTGTCTTCTGAATCATCAGATTACGTCCAATGATTCTGACATTTGTCCTGTACAGGCCAGAACATCGACATCCAGGACCTGTCTGTTTTTATTGTTCCCAGAGCCATAGGGCACCCGTGCAAGTTTGTATGAGCTTATTCATGCATACACTCGTCATTAAGTCTTCAATTTTCCCTGAATTTACAATTTTGTGTGACTTTATTAGCATATTAACCCCTTAACTGTCCAAACATTGATCTACGTTTTCACTGCTAGCGCTCTGAATATTTTGAAAAAAAAAAAAAAAAAATTTAAATAAAGAAGGCAATTTTCTCTGTGTAATAAGACCAAAAACAAAAAAAAGGTAAGTACTTACCAAGATATAAGGCCATGAAGTTGACACTGGATACTCACTTGACTGCAACGTGGAGTCCTGCCACTTGCAGAAATGTTGCCGCTATACCTTTTTTCCTTGTATTTTTTTAATTTGCATTATTTTTATGTTCTGGTAATCACAATTTATAGTAGGTAGTAGGTTGAAAGAAGAAGAGTAGGTTGATAGACAGCAGCCACCCAGGGAGGTACTACCATCCTACCACATGAGTGTGAAGCTGAAATCTGTAATTGTTTTACGTGATGGTAGGATTGCTGGTGTCTTTTTCTGTCACATAAACATGCAAGATTTCAGGTACGTCTTGCTACTCACACTTGGGTCACACCACACATGCATGTACAAGCATATATATACATACCCCTTGGGTTTTTCTTCTGTTTTCTTACTAGTTCTTGTTTTTGTTTATTTTCTCTTACCTCCATGGGGTAACGGAACAGAATTCTTCCTCAGTAAGCCATGTGTGTCATAAGAGGCAACTAAAATGCCGGGAGCAAAGGGCTAGTATCCCCTTCTCCTGTATACATTACTAAAATTAAAAAGAAAAACTTTTGTTTTTAAGTCACCCTTCCTCAGCAGGATATAGCTGTTTTGTTGAAAGAAAAAAAATCAGTTTGTAGTAGTTTTCGTGATTTTATAGCCAATGTTTTTTCTGACACTATTAAGTACAGAAATGGTAATCAGACAGTCACAACAGGTGAACATGTTCATCTGCCTTGGTCTCGTACTATTGTCTAGAAATATATGTAAATTATTTATGTGTCCCCGCAATGTTTTTATAGGTATATGAAACTCCTTGAAGTAGGGTGTCAGACAGGTGTGTCAATCTACACTGCTGATTGTGCAGTCACTCAATATTGCTGATTGTACACTGTTCCCAGTGAACCTTGGCATGTGTTTTTTTATTTGTTCTCACTGTTACATCTATCTGTCTGTTTTTCTGCCTTTGTCTGTGCATGTCTCTGCCTGTGTGTCTCTCTCTACCTGTCTCTCTGTCAGAGACATCTGCTCATGAACCAACAGGTATTACACATGTTACAGAATTGCCATGTCTGAAAAAATGGAAATGAGTATTATTTGCCAGTCATGCTCATGCCTCATATCAGCAAGCACAGAATAGCAGTGTATGTGGCTTTTTTGGGTTATCATTGGTAATTTACACTATGTATGATAACTGTACATATGTGTACCTGTACCTAAATAAACTTACCTAGTCCTTGATTCTGGTTTATGAGTGACTCTGGGACAAAACAGGCAGACAGGGATAGAGAGAGAGCTAGGCAGCCACCCACCCTCCCAACCGGCTTGCTGAACATGTATTACACGTTACAGAATCGTCTTTCTTTACTTAGGGCATAGGTTATAGGACCTTCTGAAAGGATGAGACTACCAGTGGTATCAAAATTGAAAGGATATTGCACAAATGTTGCACGTGGGTTATTATCGAGGTTTTTGATATTTCTTCGACTTACGGCCACATCCATCTCACAGCCACTAAACTCGGGGTCAGCATCACTTTCCTCTTAAAAGGGGAGTGTTAATACGACATGGCATTAGTGAATCCCTGGGGTTTGCCACGCTGTTTGCTCTATCTGGCGCTCAATTGAACTGGTGCTTCCACAAGGTACCGAGTCAGTGGTTCTTAACCTTGTTTGAGGTATTGAACCCAGCTAGTTTCATTTGTGCATTCACTGAACCCTTCGTAATTGGAAAAATGAAATGTGATGTCTTCAAAATATGATTTAAATCAAAACTGCAAATCAGTGTGACTTTTGCTGTTGCCTTTCAGAGACAAGTTCAGAAATACATGGCTTCATCTTGGCAAGTGCCACCCTAGTGTCATTTTCACAACAAAGTCTGTTCCTTTTCTTCTTTTTGATGTCTACCATCCTTGAAAAGGATTGCCCACAAAGATACATTGTAACAAATGGCATGAGTATCTCAAGGGCTTTCTTAGCAATAAGAGGGTATGCTATGATTTGTTGACACCAAAACATTGAGAGCGTTGTTGTTCTGAAGAGTTGCTGTTGAACCTGGCTCTGCTGAAGTTCAGTGATTTTGTCAAGGTATTCATCATAGACATCTGCTGTTGCAACACTGAACATGAACTGCTGTCTCACTCATGCTAGATACGACTCTCTGGTGGGAAAGTATCCATCAAGAGACTTTGCGAGCTCATCTAAGGCATGGCAAATGCTTGCTTCAGATGGCTAAGCGGAGCAGAGTGGGGTGAGTGGAACGGATGGAGGGACGGACAACAACAACAACCACAACCACAACAACCACAACCACAACAACAACCACAACCACAACAACCACAACAACAACCACAACCACAACCACAACCACAACAACCACAACCACAACAACCACAACAACAACCACAACAACCACCACAACAACCACCACCACCACCACAACCGCCGCCGCTGCCCCCCCCTCCCCCCCCGCTCGCTCTTTCACACACACTGTGTGTGTGTGTGTGTGTGTGTGTGTGTGTGACCTCTGCTGAACCCCTGAGACTGACTCATCGAACTCCTGGGGCTCAATTGAACCGAGGTTAAAAACCACTATACTAAGTTCCACATTTTTTATTACTATGCACATTGAGTGTTAAGACCCATTCTATACTGCCTAGGCCTATCATACTAAATTTGGAGGCAGGAAAAACAAAACATTGATCTACTGATTGAGCACTAGCAATATGAACGTAGATCAGTGTTTGGACAGTTAAAGGGTTAATGGTAAGTTTTTTCTGCGAGGTACTTTTTCACACTTGGGGCAAACACTTCATGTATCCACTCAGTAAAGAACTGCCTCATTACCCAAGCATTACTATTAGCCCTCTACATTACATTGAGTTTACTTTTTATCACATTATTTTTTTTTAAACATTCTTGGGTTTTCAGAGTGGTAGACTAGCAACAGTTTAACTGCAGTCCCCACTAGCATTACCACACAACAAGAGTGTTAGCTTATCTTTCATGGGCTTGTGTCCTGGTAATGATTTTTCTTCTTATGTAATGTAGGCTCTCCTAGGCATTCTTTTCCAAGAAAAAACCAGTTTCATCATAATTAAAATCTTGTTGGGGAATAAATTCCTCAATGTCTACATGGAGAGCATTTAAATCTGTAGGGAAAGGAAGGCGGTGTAGGGGTCGTCCTCGAGAAGGTTGAAAGGAAGGGATAAGGGAGATTTTGTGGGCGAGGGGCTTGGACTTCCAGCAGGCGTGTATGAGCGTGTTCGATAGGAGTGAATGGAGACGAATGGTATTTGGGACCTGACGATCTGTTGGAGTGTGATCAGGGTAATATTTAGTGAAGGGATTCAGGGAAATCGGTTATTTTTATATAGCCGGACTTGAGTCCTGGAAATGGGAAGTACAATGCCTGCACTCTAAATATACGTATATGCTTCTAAACTGTTGTGTTCTGAGCACCTCTGCAAAAACAGTGATTATATGTGAGTGAGGTGAAAGTGTTGAATGATGACAGTATTTTTTTGGGGGGATTTTCTCTCTTTTTGGGTCACCCTGCCTCGGTGAGAGACGGCCGACTTGTTAAAAAAAAAAAAAATTCTTCGTGACTACAATGCTCGTCACACCAACTCCAAGGCTGAGGGACTGATTTCCTCATCTTTTGTATATAGTTCTACTGTCTTCGAATTATGTCCTAGAATTTGTATTGATAAAGCCAGTGGATGGCGGAACGTCTCATTCTGTGTTGAAAAATATTTAAAAAAAAAATTATTTTTTCTTAACAAAATCTTAAGAATATTTTTGCAAGTGTTTTAAGGCACAAAAAAAAATTGCCATCATTACTTACCAAGATATAGAGGCATGAAGTTGACAGAAAGTGAACCGCTTACGGCAACATTGGCGACTGCCTCTCACTCAGTAATATTATTTTTACTTTTATTGTACTTTTTTCTTTTAGTTTTTAATATTTTATTTTTTCAAGTAACTTTTGTGGCCTGTGAGACCAATACAGTGCATAATGTATGTATATCCACTCATAAACAACACAATAACTGCACAAATATTATCACCATTACAATGTTTATAAAACCTGTTTACACACACCAACAATAAGAACAAGTTGTTCATTACTATTGTTCTATAATATATATACACATGTATAGTCACTGGACACATTCCTAGAACTGCTACAGCTTGTGGAATGTTGTTGTGTGGGGGTTCTTTGTTGTGGATGTGTTGACAGTGGTGTGGCTGGTGTCACAATGATGCATTACCACCACTCATTGCTCACACTGTCTTCCACAACAAGCATGTTGTCTTCCCCACCACCCACATGGAAATAAGTCACTTTGACTTTTTTTGGATTATCCTAGGTTGATGGTTGTCTGTGGTCATCCTTCCTTCCTTCCTTCCTTCCTATCTTCCTTCCTTCCTCTCATCTCTTCTGCCTTCTTTCCTTCCTTTCTTTCTTTTTCTCTCTTGTTCTTTCTTTTTCTTCCTTCCTTCCTTCTGGTATCCTGGGCATTGCTTTTGGTCACAAACTCCTCAAAAGCATGAAATTCATCTTCACTGACACTTACATGTGTGTTAGAGCTATCACTTGGGAAGAGAAGAGTCCCAGATTCACCAGGGAGTCATATTTCTTACTAGGCATGCTGAACAAGGACTACTGAAATGGTGTTCCCACAATGCACCACTGGCTCCCCAATTTTTTTTATACTGTGCACACTGATCATGCAGACCCATTCTCTCACATGTAGGCCTACCGCTTTCTCCTGCTAGACTTGAAGCCGCTAGAATTTTGGCATAGTACTACGGCACCAACACTGGCTCATAAGCCGTAGTACTATGGTACCAACATTGAAAGGGTTAACCCTTAAACTGGGATAAATGAACATTTAACATCACACTTACCTTTATTGGCTTACAGCTTGAGGTTAAAGTTGCAAGAGAATCGAAGACTAACCCAAAAGGATTCTTTCAGGTATACAGAAGTAAGATCAGGGACAAGATAGGCCCACTCAAAAGTTCCTCGGGTCAGCTCACTGACAGTGATAAGGAAATGTGTAGAATTTTTAACACATACTTCCTCTCAGTTTTTACACAGGAGGATACCAGCGATATTCCAGTAATGATAAATTATGTAGAACAGGACGATAATAAACTGTGTACTATTAGGGTCACAAGTGACATGGTCCTTAGGCAAATAGATAAATTAAAACCTAACAAATCCCCAGGCCCTGATGAACTGTATGCAAGGGTTCTAAAGGAATGTAAAGAGGAGCTTAGCACACCTTTGGCTAATCTTTTCAACATATCACTACAACATCATGTTGAAGCATAATAAACTTGTCTTCCTCTTGCCCCCCGTGTCTGTCATACACCAACAAGTCGAGTCAGTGAAGATAAGAACATAAGAACATAAGAACGAAGGAACACTGCAGAAGGCCTACTGGCCCATGCGAGGCAGGTCCAAGTCTCCTACCGGCTTAAGCCAATGCACCCAACCTAGTCAGGTCAGGTCACCTTGACTTAAGGGAGGAACACGGCAACCGACCTGGTAGCACAAGCTATCAGGAGGATTTTGCCTCCACCACCATCACACTTAAACAATGTATGTAATTTATAAATAAGAAATATTTACATTTTAATTCATAAATAAGAAATATTTACTTTTTAATTCATAAATAAGAAATATTTACATTTTAGTTCATAAATAAGAAATATTTACATTTTAATTTATAAATAAGTTTATTCAGGTATACACAAATACAGTTACATATATTATCATACATAGCAGCATGTGTAGAGTACCTAGGATAACCCAAAAAAGTCAGAGTGACTTAAGTATTTCCACTGGGGTCCTTTTATATTTACACTTACCTTGGAGATGTTAGTTTAATTAGTTAGCTTGATGGAGGAAATGCTGGCAGAGGTTTAGGGTAGTGGAAGATAGCAGGCCGGTGGATGTTCAGCGGATGTGTGCACATCCAACAACATTGGAGAGTTACTTTCGTGCCGTTTTTCTATCGCTTACTCGTTTAACTTACTTGCTACACTGTTAATTCTACGCTTTATCTCTGGCTGGCACTATAACCTTTATCGACACCTGCTGCTTTAGTATTGTACACATCGTAGAATCGGTGAATCACTGCAGAAGGCACATTCTCCCCTCTCTCTTCCTCCTCCACTTTGGTACTTTGCTACAAGTTTTTTTCTTGAATTTTTATTGTGTTTCTTTCCTTCTTTATCACAGGGCTGGCACTAGAAACTTTCTACAGGCCCATGGTGGCTTATTTAGCGGTTACAAGCACTAAAGACACTGGAATAATACAAAATATATCGCAGGTACACTTGGATTCAACCGAAACAGCTTGTAAACACTGGCACACTGGCTTTACACGGAGTCTTGGGGTGGCTGGGCCCGCTCAGGCCGCGCTCCGGCTCCATGGACAAGTTCGGGACGAACGTCATTAGATGAGTTTTTCGCCGTTGGTAGAGCCATTTTTTTTTACGCCAAAGAGCGCCGTTAGACGAATTTGCCATTACTTGATGCCGCCGTTAGTTGAGGGTCCACTTGATGGCAACAGTGGTGTAAATGCACCAGCGATATTTACATTTATTGATGCCTAGACATGATTGTTTTTCTATTTTAGCACTCCAAACATGAGGAATTCATCACCTGTGTGGTTAACCATGATACACTGTGTGGACCCTCATGGCCTTAATTTTTTTTTCAAATGTACGAATAGATTGAAGACCAAAAGAGTTGCACTAAGGTCAAAATTATTGGCAAGTGATAGATTTGAAGATTCAAAAAATTGTGCATATTAGTGCGTTGGACACGGAGCATTTGCATACTAGTATGTCAGACACTTTAAGTGTTAATATTTTTACACACATTAGCCATCTTCAAAAAAAAAAAAAAAAAAAAAAAGAGGAAGAAGAAACTCGCCATCATTCATTCAATATCTATCTTGCCACAAGTGTGCAGACATCTAAGTTGAAATGAAACTCCGAACTGCAACTTCCTCAGTACAGTACAGTGTAGGCACTGTACTGCTCACTTCCAGGGCTCAAGTCTGGCTAACTGCACTCCCTTTGTAAATATTACCTTACACACAAACAGCTTGTCTCCACTTATTTCAGTCTAACATGCTCTCACAAGCCTGTTGGATGCTCAAGCTTCTATCACTTGAAACCCCTTTATACACAAATAACCCGCACATAAAAGAGAGAAGCTTACGACGACGTTTCGGTCCGACTTGGACCATTGACAAAGTCACACTAACAGAGGTGGAGCAGGACGGCTATATATAGGCAGGAAGAGGTGGAGGTAGTAGTAGTGGTAGTAGTAGTAGTAGTAGTAGTAGTACAAGAATTGTATATAATACCGACAGGATGAAATGACACATGCACAACACCCGGGCATCCCCACCTGGAATGACCCCCAACCCCTCTTCTTCCTCCAGAGAGTTATACACCTTGGTATTCTTATTTTGTTCCATCCTCTCTCAGTACCCAAACCACCCTGGTGATCCCACATCGCTTTTGAATTTCTGTACTTTGAATACTCTGCATAATATTCACACCACACATTTCTCTCAAAACATTACATCTCTACTACCTCCATCCACCTCCTTGCTACACTGGAACCTTGGTATACAACCAGCTCCCTACTCAAAACTCAGCACTCAATGAAACAAATACGACCTGCCAGAACTTCGCTGTAAACTATTTTATGTTTCATGTTAGTGATAACAGCCAACCATTTAGAAAATTGGTTGGGAAGAACTTGTTCGATACTCAAACGGAGTGGCACTCGAACAGCCTTCTGGAATGAATTAAGGTTGCGTACCAAGGTTCCACTGTACTCTGGTGCATTCCAATTTTTGCCTCCATAAGTACTTTTTTTCTTTCCACAGATGCTTTAGCACAGCACCTATATTTTTTGCCTTGTTGATTCTGTGATTCATCTCATCTTTCTTAGACCCATCTACAGACACATACTCTCCCAAATAAAAAAATGTAAAGTGACTCGTTGAATGAATGAGAGAGAAAGGTAGGTGGAATGTCAAGGTGTCTGTGGAAAGAAAGAGTTTATGTTTATGACCAGTTTCTGGTGTGAATATTATTCAGAGAATAAAGAACATAGCAATTAGAAGATGCCGTAAAATTGCAGAGTATTTAATTCAGAAAGTGGAGGAGGAAATGTTGAAGTGTTGAAAAAAGACACAAAATGCAAACACTAGGACAGATATTGGAAATGTTTTGGTCTTGGACCCTTGGTCAGAATGGTTTGACCAAGAGGGTGTATAACTGTGGGATCTCCAGAATTTCTATATAGGAGGGGCTATTAAAGGTGAATAATAGATTTTCTAAGTAAAGCAGATGAAAAACTTTTTGGAAGAATGTTATCAAAGTTACAGAATATTATAATAAAAGTTAGTATATATGTCAGAATTGACATGTGTGGTATATTGCAGGTGGCAGAACGAAACAATGGAGGAAAGAGTCTTAAACTGGGAGACTTCGGTCTAGCTGTAGAAGTGACTGAGCCATTATTTACTGTGTGTGGTACACCTACATATGTTGCTCCAGAAATCCTAAATGAATCAGGTTATGGGTTGAAGGTAAGTTTGATCTTTAATGGTAATAATAATAGGGAACAAATGGATTTAATAGTTAAAAATGAAAGAGTAGTAGTTAATGGGGGGAGCATGGAGGTACTGGGAAGATGAAGGTAATGATTTCAAGCATTGGGCAGGGTGGTATAACATCTTGTAGGAGTGAGGAAGAGCCAGATGTGAGTGAGGGGTAAGGGCATGAGGCAGAGGATAGAATGGAAGTGGGTAAAGAGGCAAGTAGGTGGGGATATAGTTATGAAGTGGTTGGTGCATTTGTTCAATATGTGTTTTACAGGAAAGGGGGGGAAAGATACCTAGGGATTGGCAGAGAGCATGCATAGTATCTTTATATAAAGGAAAACAGAAATAAAAGAAAGTGCAAGAATTATAGGGGAATAAGCCTGCTAAGTAGGTTGGTAGACAACCTACCAACCTATTACAACCTAGTGTACAAGGTATATCTTGCTACTTTTACTTAGTTAGGTCACACTACACATGCATGTACATATATATACAGACTCGTCTGAGTTTTTTTTTTTATTTTTTTGTGAGTAGTTCTTGTTCTTATTATTTCTTTTTATCTCCATGGGGAAGTGGAATAAGAATCTTTCTTCCATAAGCCATGCGTGTTGTAAAGGTCAACTAAAATGCCAGAAGCAATAGGCTAGCAGCCCCTTCTCCCATATAGCTTACTAAAAATAAAAAGAAAATGTTTAACCCTTAAATGGTCCAAACGTATATATACGTTTTTTCAACATCTGAAAGTATGTAAAAAAATGTAGATCTTCTTTTTTGTTTTACATTTGAAAACGTGTAAAAAAAACTTATCTACATTTTTTTTGTTATATTTTTTAATTTTTTTTTTTTTCAACAAGTCGGCCGTCTCCCACCGAGGCAGGGTGACCCAAAAAAGAAAGAAAATCCCCAAAAAGAAAATACTTTCATCATCATTCAACACTTTCACCACACTCACACATTATCACTGCTTTTGCAGAGGTGCTCAGAATACAACAGTTTAGAAGCATATACGTATAAAGATACACAACATATCCCTCCAAACTGCCAATATCCCAAACCCCTCCTTTAAAGTGCAGGCATTGTACTTCCCATTTCCAGGACTCAAGTCCGACTATATGAAAATAACCGGTTTCCCTGAATCCCTTCACTAAATATTACCCTGCTCACACTCCAACAGATCGTCAGGTCCCAAGTATCATTCATCTCTATTCACTCCTATCTAACACGCTCATGCACGCTTGCTGGAAGTCCAAGCCCCTTGCCCACAAAACCTCCTTTACCCCCTCTTTCCAACCCTTTCAAGGACGACCCCTACCCCTCCTTCCTTCCCCTATAGATTTATATGCGTTCCATGTCATTCTACCTGCCTCGATGGGAGACAGCTGACTTGTTAAAAAAAAAAAAATTGAAAGGTTGATGGGCAGACTTCAGGATGTGCATGTTTATAGAGGGGCAAAATATATATCGGATCATTATTTAGTTGCAGCTACAGTTAGAGTAAGAGGTGGATGGGGCAAAAGGGAAATGGCAACAGCAAGTAAGAAAGAGGTAAATGTTTTATAAACCAAGAGAGGAGGAAGTTAGGGTGAGATATAAGCAACTGTTGGGAGAAAGGTGGGTTAGTGAGAGTATAGGCAGTGCTGGGATTGGAGAGGGGTGGGTTAGTTTTAAAAATGCACCTTCTTATATCCACAAACTTCTGCCCAGCAGAAGTTTGTGGGTATAGGAGGGTGAGTGTGGAGGGAAAGGCGTAGTTGGTGGAATGATGAGGTAAAGGGTGTGATAAGGGAGAAAAAGTCGGCTCATGAGAGATTTTTGCAAAGAAGGGTGAAGTATATGGAGAATTGGACCTGCCTCTCATGGGCCAGTAGGCCTGTTGCAGTGTTCCTTCTGTCTTATGTTCTTATATAATGAGTAAAAGAGAGGTGAAGAGAGTGGTGAGGAAGTGCAAAAGGAGAACAAATGATAGAGTGGGTGAGATGCTGTCAACAAATTTTGCTGAAAATAAGCAAAAGTTTTAGAGTGAGATAAATAGGTTGAGAAATCCTAAGGAATAAATGGACTTGACAGTTAAAAAAAGAAAAGGGGAGTTAGTACATGGGGAGTTGGAGGTATTGGGAAGATTTCAGGAATATTTTGAGAAACTGTTAAATATTGATGAAGAGAGGGAGGCAGTGATTTAATACATTGGCAAGGGATGTATAACATCCTTTAGGAGTGAAGAAGAACTGGATGTAAGTGTGGGGGAGGTGCTTGAGGCAGTGGGTAGAATGAAATAGGGTAAAGGAACTGGAACAGGTGGGATCATGACAGAAATGTTAAAAGCAGGTGGGGATATAGTTTTGAAGTGGGTGGTACTTTTGTTCAGTAAATGTATGAAAGAAGGGAAGGTACCTAGGGACTGACAGAACATGCATAGTTCCTTTATATAAAGGGAAAGGGGAGAAAAGAGAGTGTAAAATTATAGAATAATAAGCTTACTGAGTATACCTCATAAAGTGTATGGTAGGGTTATTATTGAATGAATTAGATTTAAGACAGAGAGCAGGATCACAAATGAACAAGGAGGCTTTAGAATGGGTAGAGGATGTGTAGACAAGTGTTTACATTGAAACACACAATATTTAGATAAAGGTAGGGAAGTTTTTGTTGCTTTCATAGATTTAGAAAAGGCTTATGATAGGGTGGATAGGGGAGCAACGTGGCTGTTGTTGCAAGTGTATAGAATAGGTGGTAAGTTACTAAATGCTGTAAAGAGTTTTTATGAGGATAGTGAGGCTCAGCCTAGGTAGTAGGTTGGTAGACAGCAGCTGCCCAGGGAGGTACTACCATCCTGCCAAGTGAGTGTAAAACAGAAACCTTTAATTGTTTTACATGATGGTAGGATTGCTGGTGTCTGTTTTCTGTCTCATAAACATGCAAGATTTCAGGTACATCTTGCTACTTCTTCTTACACTTAGGTCACACTACACATACATGTACAAGCATATATATGTATACACACCCTCTGGGTTTTCTTCTATTTTCTTACTAGTTCTTGTTCTTGTTTATTTCCTGTTATCTCCAGGGGGAATTGGAACAGAATTCTTCCTCCGTAAGCCATGCGTGTTGTAAGAGACAACTAAAATGCCGGGAGCATTCTCCTGTATAAATTACTCAAGTTAAAAAGAGAAATTTTTGTTTTTCTTTTTGGGCCACCCTGCCTTGGTGGGATACGGCCTGTTTGTTGAAAGAAGTGAGGCTCAGGTTAGGGTGTGTAGGTGAGATGGAAATTAGATGAAGTTGTAAAAGAAGTAAGTGCTAGGGTGTTAGGGAGAGGGGTGGGATTACATTATGTGGATTCGAATACAAAATGGGAGTTGAGACAGTTACTTTTTGCTGCTGATGATTGTTCGTTTAGGAGATTCTGAAGAAAAGTTGCAAAGGGTAGTGGACGAGTTTGGGAGGGTGCATAAAGGAAGAAAGTCAAAACTGAACATTGATAAGAGTAAAGTGATGATGGTATCAAATGATTTAGATAAGGAAAAACTGGATATTACATTGGAGGGAGGGAGTATGGAAGAAGTGAATGTGTTTAGATATTTGGGAGTAGACTTGCTGGAGGATGGGTTTATGAAGGACAAGGTAGACCATTGAATTGATGAAGGGAAAAAGGGTGGGTGGTGCATTGAGATATCCATAGAGACAAAAAAAAAAAAAAAATCCATGGAGTCAGAGAAGGGAATGTGTGAGAGTATAGCGGTACCAACGCTCTTATATTGATGTGAAGCATGGGTTATGAATGTTGCAGTGAGGAAGAGGCTGGAGGCAGTGGATATATCGTGTCTAAGAGCAGTGTGTGGCGTATTATGCAGAGAATTCGTAGTGGGGAAATTAGGAGGGGATTGTAGTGTTACTAAAAGTATTATTCAGAGGGCTGAGGAGGGGTTGTTGAGGTGATTTGGTCATTTAGAGAAGATGGAGCAAAATAAGATGACTTGGAGGGTTTATAAATCTGTAGTGGAGGGAAGGAAAAGTAGGGCTCATCCTAGGAAAGGATGGAGGAAGGAGGTAAAAGAGGTTTTGTGTGCAGAGGTCATGGACATATAGCAGGCATATGTGAGCATGTTAGATAGGAGTGAGTGGAGATGAATGGTTTTTGAGACTTGATGAGCTGTTGGAGTGTGAGCAGGGTAATGTTTTGTGAAGGGATTCAGGGAAACTGGTTAGCCAGACTGAGTCCTGGAAGTGGGAAGTACAGTGCCTGCACTTTAAAGGAAGGGTTTGGAATATTTGCTATTTGGAGCGACATCTGAACCATCATATCTGCATGCCTCTGCAAAGACAGTGATTAAGTGTGAATGATGGTGAAAGTGTTTCTTTTATGCATCACTCTGCCTCAGTGAGAGACAGCCAGCATGTTAAAAAAAAAAAAAAAACCTGGTAAGTATACCGAGTAAAGTGTATGGTAGAGTTGAAGAATTAGGCACGTGCAACATTTGGGAATCTTTAATTTGTAGATGTTTTGCCATCCAGTGGCTTTATCATTACAATACAAGGACCTAATGTAAAGACTAGAAGTTTACCTGGAGAGTTCCGGGGGTCAACACCCCCACGGCCTGGTCTGTGACCAGGCCTGATCAACCTAGCTGTTACTGCTGGCTACACGCAATCCAACGTACGAACCACAGCCCAGCTGGTCAGGTACTGACTTTAGGTGCTTGTCCAGTGCCTGCTTGAAGACAGCCAGGGGTCTATTGGTAATCCCCCTTATGTATGCTGGGAGGCAGTTGAACAGTCTTGGGCCCCTGACACTTATTGCGTTGTCTCTTAACATGCTAGTGGCACCCCTGCTTTTCATTGGGGGGATGTTGCATTGTCTGCTGAGTCTTTTGCTTTCGTAGTGAGTGATTTTTGTGTGCAAGTTTGGTACTAGTCCCTCTACGATTTTCCAGGTGTGTGTAATCATCTATCTCTCCCTCCTGCATTCCAGGGAGTACAGGTTCAGGAACTTCAAGCGCTCCCAGTAATTGAGGTGTTTTATCTCAGTTATGTGTGCTGTGAAGGTTCTCTGTACATGTTCTAGGTCAGCAATTTCACCTGCCTTGAAAGGTGCTGTTAGTGTGCAGCAATATTCCAGCCTAGATAGAACAAGCAATCTGAAGAGTGTCATCATGGGCTTGAAGTAATCAGTTCCTCAGCTGAGGAGTAGATGAGCACTGTGGTCTTGAAGAATCTGAAGGCAGGAAGATTGGCCAGTGCTGACCGAATTTGTTCCCATAAGGAATATTGTGAAGTAGATTAGTCCATTTCAGACCCCCAAACATACACGTACAAACGCACTTACATAAATACACTTACATAATTGGTCGCATTCGGAGGTGATCGTTATGCGGGGGTCCACTGTACTTGCCTCACATGAGGGAGGTGCAGCAGACTTAGGCATTGTTACTGGTAGGTGAGATTTCCCAGTGGAAGTAGATAATACCCAAGGGATGGGCCAGGAGCAGGCAAGTGGGTTGTGGACCTGTCCTCTGTACCATTGGTATACAGTACTGACAAGATAAAGAATTAGACCTACTTCCACTGGGGAATTCCTCCTACCGGTAACAATGCTTAGGTCTGCTGCACCTCCCTCATCTGATTCCAGTATGTAAATGCCAGTCTTCCTGCTTGTGGAAGGAGGAGATAAAGAAGACTGTGTGCAAGGGGGTTAGACATCCAGTAAGTATGTGTAAGACAGGAGCTACTGGAGGCAAGTGGTTTTTATAACTTAATGTCCTGTTGGAATGTGAGAAAGGTAACATTTATGAAGGGATTCAGGGAAACCAGTTAGCTGGACTTGAGTACTAGAGGTGGGAAGTACAGTGCCTGCACTCTGGAAAGGTGGGGATATTTGCAGTTTGGAACTGTAGTATCAGTACTCCTCTGGCAAGATAGTAATGGAGTGAATGATAAAGATTTTTTTTTTTTTGGGGGGGGGGGTCACCCTACCTTGGTGGGAGATGGCCAGTTTGTTGAAGAAAAAAAAAAGTGTTATGGGCAGGACTTGAACCCATGGCAAGTCAGTTATATAATTAGTAGGCCAGTGTTTTAACCACTACACTATGCAGGTCTAGTAGTTAGAGCACTGGCTTTCTAGTTTTAGGATTGGCTTGGCATGGATTAAAGTCCTGTCTTATCTCTCAGGTTGTTTATAATTATATTACTGCAATTTTTGTGAATCATAGAGTATTATAGTTAACAATTCCTTTATCAAACTATATTAACAAGTTGATCAAGTCCAGTCTTGGGCAAAACTTTCCTATTCTTATTCTTGTACTACAAGGATCTTCTGCTTCTAGTGTATTTATTTCCATGTGTTGACTTTTGCCATTGTCTACCAACAGGTTGATATCTGGGCAACTGGAGTTATTACATATATCCTCCTGTGTGGGTTTCCCCCATTTGTCTCAGCTACAAACAACCAAGAAGAACTTTTTGACCAAATATTACATGGGCATTATGAATTTCATAGTCCATACTGGGATGACATATCGGATTCTGCACGTGAATTAATAGTCCATATGATTGAGGTAGACAAAGAGAAGCGCTTCAGTGCAAGAGAGGTCCTTGGGCATCCCTGGGTTTCGGTAAGTCATCTATGACTTATAATTTTAATGTTGGCTGGTAATTTTCTGGAAAAAGAGACTGAGAATTGAAGTTAGATACAATACATAAATAGCCTGCACATAGGAGAATGAAGTTGGATAGACTTCAGCAAAATATTCAGTAATACAATAGTACTGCAGACAAATTTTAGGTGTTGAAGAATATTTGCTTTTAGAGGTTATTCTAATCACAGTAGTAGAATGTAATACAGTACTTAAAGATTAATTAGCATTCATTTGTATTACTCTGTTTTACCCAGTACTGATCACTTCTTTCACAAGGATGAGGCTTTTGATGGAAACGTTGAGTTGCGTGTTTCCCACCAGTTGGGTCTCCACTTTGACACAAATGTCCCCCAGCACAAATCAGCAGGAATCACTCTTATGGCTGTAAGTTATACACATCTTTTTTATATTCACATGCCCCTCTATTTATACAGTAGATTTTATAGTTTCGTGGCAGTTGCACTAAACTCAATCAGGCCATCAACATTTAATTATGCATTATAAAAAAATTTCAGCAAGCTTCATAAACCTCACTGATTGCAGACAGTGACTACATTGGACTTGTGCAAATATAGAAATAAGATACCATGTAAGAGTGAATTTGCATAAAGCTGAGAATGTTGTAGGTTCTAAGAATATAAATGGTTTTGCTGTAAAACTAGGTGGATGATATAGAGGAAATGGGTGGTGTAGAGAAGTTAGGTAGGAGGTGTAGAGGAAATGGGTGGTGTGGGGAAGCTGGGCTGGTGGTGGTACAAAGGGAAGAGAGCCTGGGAAGACTTCATCTCTCCATAATTTCCTTCAGCCACCAAAAGTCCTGTCTGTGATGAAAATCATCAGTTATTCAACTTATTCTCAGGTATAAATCTCTGCAAAGGAGGGAGTGCAAAAGGAGAGTAAATGATAGAGTGGGTGAGGTGCTGTCAACAAATTTTGTTGAGAAAAACCTTTTTGGAGTGAGATAAATAGGTTAAGAAAGCCTAGAGAATGAATGGATTTGACAGTTAAAAACAGAACAGGGGAGTTAGTAGATGGGTAGTTGGAAGTATTGGGAAAATATCAGGAATATTTTGAGGAACTGTTAAATGTTGATGAAGAGAGGGAGGCAGTAATTTCATGCATTGGCCAGGAAGGTATAACATCTTTCAGGAATGAAGAAGAGCTGGATATGAATGTGGGGGAGGTGTGTGAGGCATTAGGTCAAATGAAAGGGGGGTGGGGTAAAGCAGCTTGGACCTTCAGGGTCCAAGGCCCAAATCTGAAGTTGTGCCCCAGTGTCCAGGAATTTAAAAAAAAAAATTGTTATTTTTTCTTATGAAATGGTAGAGAATCTTTTTGTGAAGGTAATAAAACAAAAAGTATGAAATTTGATGGAAAATTGACGAATTATGCTCTCGCGAATTTTGATGTGTCAACGATATTTACGAATCGGCGATTTTGCCGACTTTGACTCCCATTTTAGGCCAATTACATTATTCCAGCCAACCAAATTCTTAGCTATTTCACTAGTATTACTTCTATTCTATCGATTGAGCACAAGAAATCAGCAAGTCAACTGTTTCAACTACAAATTAAAGCGATCGGAAATTGTAAATTTGGCCAATTTAACACAAAGTTCAAAATATTCCAATTTCAAAATAGGGTCCAGAATAAACAATGTAGGTATTCCTGGAACTAAACTAACATTTCCTCTGTTCATTAGTTACGTTTTGAGGCTTTACAAATAAATTCCATTTTTATTTTTTATTCACATAATGAATTTTTGTTCACACCAAAAAATAGAAGATTTACTGTTATGCAATACTGTAATAATTGTATAAATATCATCACCATATTTGTGAATGCATATTAGACCCACCAGCTGGCGTATATTAGACGTGTGAGGTCGTTTGTTTACTCTTGAATATCGGCAAAAATTTAACATTTCTGCTAATTTGAGCTCAGTTTCAAGCCATTTCCAGTGCTAAAACCAATCAAAATCATCTCTATTTCTGTAATATGTCTTCCATTCTATCAATTGAGACCAAGAAATCGCAAATACAACTATAAAAAACATACGAAAAAACACTGCAAAGTCGTTGTTTTAATCGAAAAATCATGATTTCAGTTTTTTTCTCTCATTATACACAGTGTGCTGCAGGATCTGTTTTATGTGATGCACACATACCACATAGATGTATTCTCTCATATCTAGGCCCAAATGTACCACTCACAGTTTATCAGAGTGAGCTGAGCTCATGACGTAGATCTACGGTTTGGACCCTGAACGTAAAGCCGTAGATCTACAGGACGGACCCTGAAAGGGTTAAAAGCAAGAGAGGATAGAGTTTGAGTGGTTGGTATTTTTGTTCAATAAATGTATAAAAGAGGGGAAGGTACCTAGGGATTGGAAGTGTATATATGTATAATTCCTTAATATAAGGGAAAGGGGAACAAAAGAGATTGTAAAAATTATAGGGGAATAAGGTTACTGAGTATACCAGGTAAAGTGTACGGTAGGGTTATTATTGAAAGAATTAGAGGTAAGACAGAGAGCAGGATTGTAGACGAACAAGGAGGCTTTAGAATGGGCAGGGAATGTGTATATCATGTTTACATTAAAGCATAGTATAAGTGAAAAATATTTAGATAAAGGTGTTATTGCATTTATGATAGGGTGGATAGGGAGAATTGTGGCTGATGTTACAAGTGTATGGAATAGGTAGTAAGTTACTAAATGCTGTACAGAGTTTTTATGAGGATAGGCTCAGATTAAGGTGTATAGGAAAGAGAAGATTACTCTCCAGTAAAAGTAGGCTTTAGACAGGGATGTTTAATGTCACCATGGTTGTTTAACATATTTATAGATGGAGCTGTAAAAGAAGTAAATGCTAGGATGTCAGGGAGAGGGGTGGGATTAAATTTTGGGGAATCAAATACAAAATGGGAGTTGACACACTTACTTTTTGCTGATGATGCTGTGCTTTTGGGAGATTCTAAAGAGAAGTTACAAAGGTTAGTGGACGAGTTTGGGAGGGTGTAAAGTTGAAAGTGAACATAGGTAAGAGTAAGGTGATGAAAGTATCAAATGAATTAGGTAAAAAGTGTGGAAGAAGTGAATGTGTTGAGATATTTAGGAGTAGATTTATCAGCAGATGGGTTTGTGAAGGACATGGTTAACCATAGAATTGATGAAGAAAAAAAGGTGGGTGGTGCATTGAGGTATCTGTGGAGACAAAGAACATTATCCATGGACACAAGGAAGGGAATGTACGAGAATGCAGTGGTACCAACGCTCTTATATGGGTATGAAGCATGGGTTGTGAATGCTGCAGCGAGGAGGAGGCTGGAGGCAGTGGAGATGTCGTGTCTTAGGGCATTATGTGGCGTAAATATTATGCAGAGAATTCGTAGTGTGGAAATTAGGAGGAGGCGTGGAATTACAAAAAGTATTATTCAGAGGGCTGAAGTGGGGTTATTGAGGTGGTTTGGTCATTTAGAGAGGATGAAGCAAAGTAGAATGACTTGGAGGGTGTATACATCTGTAGTGGAGGGGTAGGTATTATCCTAGGAAAGGATGGGAGGAGGAGGTACAAGAGGTTTTGTGTGCAAGGGGCCTGGACATGCAGCAGGCATGTATGAGCATGTTAGATAGGAGTGAATGGGGACAAATGGTGTTTGGGACTTGACGAGCTGTTGGAGTGTGAGTGGGTAATATGTTGTGAAGGGATTCAGGGAAACTGGTTAGCCAGACTTGAGTCCTGGAAGTGGGAAGTACAGTGCCTGCACTTTAAAGGTGAGATTTAGGATATTGCCTGTTTGGAGTGACATCCAAACTGTCATATCTGGGCACCTCTGCAAAGAGGTGTGAATGATGGTGAAAGCGTTCTTCTTTTTTGGGTCACCCTGCCTTGGTGGGAGATGGCCAACATGTTAAAAAGAAAATATCTGCCAATACCAAATGTTCTTACGAACTTAAGGATGGAGAAACACTACATAGGCCTACTGATAAACTTTTAGGTAAAAGGACATATGTGCAACTAAATATACATATTGTGACAATGTTTCATTCTCCAGTAGCTTTGTCAAGCTTGACAAAACTCCTGGACAGCAAAATATTGCTTTAGGAGAATATCTCATTATTTGAACATCCAGTGAACTGTAATTTACAGAATAACAGAGTAGGGCATATACTTTATGAGAATGGGTTAGAGGGTAGGTGAGTGTAAGTGGGAGTGAAAAAGGATGTGAGAGGGTAAGTGGGTATGAGCGGGTGGCTTTCAGAAAGCATGAGTGGTTAGGTGGTTATGCAAGAGGATGTAAATGTGGGTGGGTGAGAGAGAGGCAGGCTGGGTGTGTGAGGGGTGTATATAAGAGAGAGCATCAGGGTGTTTTGATATGGGTGAGGAGTTGGTATGAGAGATGGGTGTGAGGGCTGGTAGGTGGATGTGTGAGTGTGTGTGGATTTGAGAGGGTTGGTGTGAGAGGTGTTTAGTGTATATTTGTGGGGATATGAGTAGTCGTGCAAATGTGAGAGGATGGGTGAGTAGGTGTGCAAATGTGAGAGGATGGGTGAGTAGGTGTGCAAATGTGAGAGGATGGGTGAGTAGGTGTGCAAATGTGAGAGGATGGGTGAGTAGGTGTGCAAATGTGAGAGGATGGGTGAGTATGTGTGCAAATGTGAGAGGATGGGTGAGTAGGTGTGCAAATGTGAGAGGATGGGTGAGTAGGTGTGCAAATGTGAGAGGATGGGTGAGTAGGTGTGCAAATGTGAGAGGATGAGTGAGGAGGTGGTGGCGGGGAGGAGCAGTGGCAGGGAGGCGGTGGTGGGGAGGAGTAGTAGGAGTAGGAGTAGTAGTAGTTGTAGTATTAGTAGTAGTAATAAGAAATTGTGGTATTTGGTGTCAAAAAATTACATTTCATTAACTCTTTAACTATTCAGACCCCCAAATTTAATATTGCTCCCAGTATCCACTTTTAAAAAATTTTTGAAATGGTAATAATTTTCTGAAGATAACACTAAAACTGTGAAATTTATGCATGATTGTTCATGATTTATGACTTCCCAATAATTGAATCAGACCTATTAAAACCCCATAAAACAGACCAAGGGGGGGGCATTGTTGATGGGGTTTATAGGGCCACTGACAGCCTATGCCATATCAAGCCCTGCCTTCCAGTGCCTGGAAAAGAAACCTTGACTAAAGCAGAAGGAGTTAGACTAATAACTATGCATATTAAATGTCTCCTATGTCACCTGGAGCCAGCAAAAAGGTGCAGATACAGGCCAGGATCTCTTGACAGTCTGAAGGGTCAAACCCCTCCCCATTGAGGAGAGGTAGGGTCAAAGATCACCCTGAATGTGTGCAAGGCCACATGGAGGAGAGTCCATGCAGAGTGGTAATGGGGGCACCACAGTAGGAAGTGCTCCACTGTCTCAGGCTGAGAGAGACACCACTGGTAGAATGGAGAGTCTGTCATCCGAAGGCAGTGCAGATAAGCTGCAAGTTGTGAATGCCCAACCCAGAGGCAAGCCACTGAGCGATTGGGATGGCAAGCCCAAGGACAGGGGCTGTTGAAAGACCAGACTGAGCTTAATGCTGAAGAAGAGAGGGAATGTGCCAGAATCCCCCTGCCATAAGTGGCAGATTTCCCTCCAAATAGTCTTTGTAAAATCCCAGTGCAAGGGGAGGGGTAATGGTAGGGAGTGTGTGTGTGCAAGGGAGGCCACTTGATCAGTCATTTCGTTGCCCCGAATGCCAACATGAGCTGGTACCCACTGAAGGAAGATGCTCCAACCCACTGCAAGACGTGCAGAAGAAGAAGCTACGTCTGTTGGACCAGGAAACAGAGGGACTATGGATGGGCAGAACACAGCAGTGCCAGGGAATATTGGGAATCAGAGAAGAGAACCACAGGCTGAGGAGGAAGGTGTGCAAGGATGAAAAGTAAAGCCTGGTGAATGACAAAGAGCTCCCCTACTAGGACCGAGTGAGTGGGTTCTAACCGCCAGGTTTGACACAGAAAGATCAGTGAAGACAGCAGCTGAAGATGAAGGAGGAGGGAAAGTTTGTGCTGAGCCATCCATGTAGATGGAGAATGAATAACTATATGTGACAGCATGAAATTCTTCAAAGAGAAATGCTGCCATCTGAAGAGTTTCTCTGTTCCTGCATGGCCAATCTAGGTGGATGTATCTTTCCAGGTCCATCCAAGGAGAAACCGGGAAGTGGAGAAGGGAGTAAACACTGGCACAGGGAGTGAGAGGTACGCTAGGGAACGTTGGGCTCTGGCCATAAAGGATGGCCGAGTCAAACATGTGGGAACAGGCTGCTGCCCACACCTGTGGAGAGAGGCAGCAGGGAGATTACAAGGCAAAGAGGACATATGGTGGAGTCACAAGCAGTCCCTCATCTTTCTCACCAGTGAGAAGAAGACTATCCCAGACTGCTTCCAAAGCTGTGATGGGGGTGGAGGGAAGCCAGGGAAAAGGCATTACTTGTCCTTAAGAAAAGCATCAAAAATTTAATATTTCTGCTATTTGAAATTTGATTTCAAGCTGCTATTTTTCCTGAAACCAGCCAAAATCATCTATATTTCACTAGTATGTCTTCCAGTCTGTCAAATGATACTAAGAAACAGCCAATAAAACAAAAACCATCCTAGAAAACACCACAAAGTTGCTATATTAAACCAAACATATGGTCAGTTTTGCTTTCCCCAATATGCACCATGTGGGCAGGATTTTTTATACTGTATGTACTCATCACACAGACCCATTCTCTCATATCTAGGCCAAAATTTACTGCTCACAGGTTATCTGAGTGAGCTGAGCTCATGACATAGATCTACGTGAGGGATACTGACTTCAGTGATGTAGTTCTACATATGCCAATGAAAGGGTTAAAAAGTACCAGTTCAGTGGTACCTTGACTTAAGAGTTTAATTCGCTCTGTGACCTAGCTCGTAACTCAATTTGCTCGTATATCAAATCAATTTTCCTCATTGAAATTGATTGAAATGCTATTAATCCGTTCCAGTCCCCAAAAAACCACTCCAGTTTTTTGTTACTGATTTTTAAATAAGAAAATGTATTTATAAATAAGAGATATTGTATACTCCACCCACCACCTTCACTACTCAACCCACCACCATCTCTATTACACCCACCATTATCACTACTCCACCCACATTATCACTAACTCCACCCACCACCATCTCTACTACACCCACCACCTTCACTGCTCCACCCTCCACCATCTCTACTACCACCATCATCTCTACTACACCCATCATCATCTCTACTACACCCACCATTATCACTACTCCATCCACCACCATCTCTATTACACCCACCATTATCACTACTCCACCCACCATTATCACTACTCCACCCACCACCATCTCTATTACACCCACCACCTTCACTACTCCACCCTCCACCATCTCTACTACCACATCATCTCTACTACACCCATCATCTCTACTACACCACCATTATCACTACTCCATCCACCACCATCTCTATTACACCCACCATTATCACTACTACACCACCATTATCACTACTCCATCCACCACCATCTCTATTACACCCACCACCTTCACTACTCCACCCACCACCTACTCTACTACACCCACCATTATCACTACTCCATCCACCATCATCTCTATTACACCCACCACCTTCACTACTCCACCCACCACCATCTCTACTCCACCACCACCTTCACTACTCCACCCATCACCATCTCTACTCCTTCCACCACCATCCTCTACTCCACCCACCACCATCTCTACTCCACCCACCACCATCTCTACTCACCCCACCACCATCTCTATTACACCCACCACCTTCACTACCCTCCACCCCACCATCATCTCTACTCCACCACCACCTTCACTACTCCACCCACCACCATCTCTACTCCCCACCACCATCTCTACTCCACCCACCACCATACCATTACACCCACCACCTTCACTACTCCACCACCACCATCTCTACTCCACCCACCACCTTCACTACTCCCCCACCACCATCTCTACTCCACCCACCACCATCTCTACTCCTTCCACCACCCTCACTACTCAACCCACCACATCTCTACTCTACCCACCACCATCTCTACTCTACCCACCACCATCTCTACTCACCCACCACCATCTTTACTCCACCCACCACCATCTCTACTCCACCACCACCATCTTTACTACACTCACCCACCTTCTCTACTCTGCTCACTACCATCTCTACTCCACCCACTACCATCTCTGCTCCACCCACCACCTTCACTACTCCACTCACTACCGTCTCTACTACACCCACCACCCTTCACTACTCCACCCACACCATTCACTACTCCACCCACCACCTTCACTACTCCACCCACCATCTCGACTACACCCACCACCTTCATTACTCCACCCACCACCATCTCTACTCCACTCACCACCATCCTCTACTCCACCTGCCACCTTCACTACTCCACCCACCACCTTCACTACTCCACCACCGTCTCTACTACACCCACCACCTTCACTACTCCATCCACCACCATCTCTACTACACCCACCACCTTCACTACTCCATCCACCACCATCTCTACTACACCCACCACCTTCACTACTCCATCCACCACCATCTCTACTACACCCACCACCTTCACTACTCCACCCCCAACTATCAGTACTCCACCCACCTTAATGTTTCTGGAAAAACTCTTGAGTGTAGAAATGGAGGTTACCTCTTCCCTAGATTTATACGAGAACCAAACAAGGGATGAGGTACCTCCCTACAATCTGGGATTAGTGTGGGAGCATTATTCTTCCAGTTATGTCTTGGAAGAGCATGTGGGATGGGATGAAGTACCTGACATTCCTCTGGGTACAGAGTTGGATTCGACTTCAGATACACCGCCAGTTAGTGGCAGCGTATCTGAAGTTCACTCGTAACTCAGATTTTGGCTTGCAACTCAAAACAACAAATCAACCGAGCAATGGCTCGTAACTTGCAAAACTCCTAAGTTGGGGCACTCATAAATCAAGGTATCACTGTATTATATAATTAACAAAAATCTTTATTGCCCTTATTTTGTTTGTCATTTCAAGCTTTTTAAAATTACATAGTCTGCCTGTGTATTGTGCATGATTTTTGACACTGTGTACTGTAGCATACTACAGTGGATATCCTCTTTGATGTATTGATTTGATTTGTTTTGAATGTTCATTATAATTTATTTATAGGAGTCAAATTTTTACAATTAAACTTTTATCCTCTCTTATCATCAACATGCTCATATAACACTTTAAATTTTTTGTCTCTTGTGATATCCTTTGATTTATGTTTCCATTGTCTAAAATGATGATTAAATATAGTTTTTTTTTCTATTAAGTTTAGTAAATCACAAGAGATATGGAGTATTGGTATGATGCAGTAATAGAAGCAAAGACCCAACACTCCTTTTAAAGGAAGCAAAAGTACAAATAAACATGTTTGTTATGAAGCACTGATGGCTTCCACTTAACCTTACTGTTCACATTTTGTAACAGAATAGTTACATGTACTCCAATTGAGACTGCAGATAGTCAGAGTGAACTCGACATCTTAATTATGGTTTAAAAAAAAAAGCCTTAAAACAATGTAGCATTTTAAACAATAATTAAGCTTGAAGAAATATAATTTATATAGATCTAGTCTCTCCCACTTGTTAGAAATACAGTACAGTATTACATAAAAAAAATAACTAAAAAATTAAGGAAAAAGATTTTGTGCTTAAATAGTTTTGAGTCATTATTTACCAATGTTAAGTTCATCCTTACTAACAACAGCTCTGTATTGGACCTTCCATTATTTATATGTGACTGATTTCTGTTTGTTTCTGTGGTTATGATGTCCAGGCGGAGTCCACCCCCTGCTTGCACACAGTAGAGGTGCTATAATAGCTGGCAAGCAGGTAGCAGAGGGCAACTTGAGGACAAGAAAGCAAGATAATACTTATAGATTCTGAGCCTACTATCTACACAGCCCACAGCAACAACAGGCTGACCATTACCACCATACAAGAATCATTCACAAAATGCAATAGGAACCTAAAATTACTTTGAAGGACTACAGAATTTTTTAAGAAAACATTATTATTTAAATATATATAAAAGAAAGAGTTGCTAGACTAAATAATAAGCTGCTTATTTACTGAGTTTGTTAAATAAATTTTCAGCTTTTTTTTTTTCCAACATATCTTATGTTATGACCCAGAGAAGTTAATTATATTTAAATTTATATCCTACTAGTCATTATCAAGTGACAATAAATTTGGTTCACTTGTTCTGTGTATTTCATACTTTTAAATTTATCCTGAAAGAAATAGCAAATGTCAAAGCTGCACTGGATTTTTTTTTTTTTTTTTTTTTACCACAATGGCCATCTACTACCAAAGCAGAATGACCAAGAAAAGGAAATAATTATCATTCACTTTATATTTGTCTTGCCAGACAGCTAATACAAGGTGGCCATCATATATCCGGCATCATCGAGACCTGTAGGGTGTCAATTTAGTGATTTTGCCAGATTATAGTGGTTAGGTTAGAATACACTTAACCCAATGGCAATATTTAGACATAGGCGATTTCGACCAATTTACACCCTATATTTGGCCCATTCCGCTGTTCCATTCTACCAAACTCATAGCTATTTCGCTAGTATTCCTTTTGTTCTGTTGATTGAGTACAAGAAACCACCCATTCCTCTGTTTCATCTACCCAGTAAAGTGGTTGGAAATCAGTAATTTGGCCAATTTCACACAAATTTCAAAAGATGCCAGTTTCAAAATAGGGTCCAGAATAAGCAATGCAGACATTCCTGGCACTAAAATAATATTTTCTCTGTTCATTAGTCACGTCTCCAGGCCCCTCTTATATTACGCTTGCTTTCCATTTTGAATTTTTATTCACACAAAAAAATAGAAGATTTAGTGTTATGTAGACTACTGCATCATTGTAATAACTGCATAAATAATGTCAACCCATTCATGACCACGTATTAGACCAGTCAGTTGGACACGTATTGGTCAGTGACATCATATCTTTACTCTTGAACATCGGCAAAAATCAAACATTTCCAGTACTTTGAGGTCAATTTCAAGGTATGTTTTGTCATGAAACTAATCAAAACCATATCTTTTTCTGTAATATATCTTCCATTCTATCAAATGAGGCCAAAACAGTGAGAATACAGCCATAAAAACCATACGAAAATACACCGCAAAGTCGCCGTTTTACACCACAGTCAGTTTTTTCTCATGTAGTGCGTGGAGTGCATGGTGCAGGATGTTTTTTATATAGTGCATATTTACCACACAGACCTATTCTCTCATATGTAGGCCCAAATTTACCAGTCACAGCTTATCTGAGTGAACTGAGCTCATGGTGACCAACATTGGCTTCAAAGCCACCTTTTATGGACAATGTATAGTGTATGTGCTTTACATAATGAGATGCATTTCTTTTATTCGTTGGAACCATGGCTAGGGCTAAAAGTAAGTAGGTTGTAACAATAAATGGAGAAAAAGACATTGGAATGACTTGTGCAGCAAGTAGTGCCACCAAACAGTAGTGGCAGGTTGGTGTGGCGGCCCCAGAAATTTGAAATTATGCTAACTAAACTTAGTGCCGGATTACTGGTGGAACCGGATAAGTGATTGCCAGATTAGTGATGGCCGACCTGTACTTTAAAGTCCTCACCTATCCTTCAGAATGAAGGCAATGTACTCCCTGCTCCACCAGGATTTAAGTCCAGCTCACCAGTTCTCCTGAACACCTTCACAAACATTACCTTGCTCACACTCCAGCAGCATGTTGAGTAAAAAAAAAAAAAATTTGTCTTCCCATTCTGTTCTAACACACACACTAGGCTCCTTTATCCACTCCTCCCAACCTTTTCTGGGATAACCCTTACTCTTCCTTTCTTTCACTCTAGATTTATACACACACTTAGTCATCCTATTCTGCTCCGTCATATCTAAATGCCCAAACCATCTCGGCAACCCTCCCTTTCCCCCTCCCTCCTTACTCTTTAACCCTTTGAGGGTCGACAGGCCTTCTCCAAGACTCGTTCTCAGGGTCGGCCAATTTAAAAAAAAAAAATTTCTTAGGAAAAGATAGAGAATCTTTTCCCAATCATATTGACACCAAAAGTATGAAATTTGATGGAAAACTTACGGAATTATACTCTCGTGAAGTTAGCGGTCTCGACGATGTTTACGCATCGGCAATTTTGCCCACTTTGAGCCCTATTTTCGGCCAATTCCAGTGTACTAGTCGACAGAAATCATAACTATTTCTCTAGAACTTTACTTTTTCTATTGATTGAGTGCAAGAAACCACCCATTTACTGATTTCAACTATCCAATACAGTGGTCAGAATTTAGTAATTTTTCTAATTTAACACAAATTTCAAAAGATGCCAATTTCCAAATAGGGTCCAGAATAAACAAGAAAGACATTCCTGGCACTAAAATAACATTTCCTCTGTTAGTCACATCCCCAGGCCCCTCTTATATTTCTTTGGCTTTCCACTTTCAATTTTTATTCTTGCAAAAAATAGAAGATTTACTGTTATGCAGACTACTGCATTAGTGTAGAAATGGTATAAATAATATCAGCGCACTTGTGAAAGAATGTTAGACTCACCAGTTGACATGTATTGGATGCTTGGCATGATTTGCTTACTTTTGAACTTTGGTAAAAATTGAACATTTCTGCTAATTTGAGCTCAATTTCAAGGTACTTTTCATTGTAAAACCAGTCAAAATCATCTCAATTTCTGTAATATGTCTTTCATTCTATAAAATGAGACCAAGAAAACTAGAATACCACAATAAATACCATACGAATATACAGTGCAAAATCACTGTTTTATTCCAAAAACATGGTCATTTTTTTTTTCTCATTATGCACTGTATGCTGCAGGATTTTTTTTTATACTGCGCGCACTAACCATATAGACCCATTCTTTCATATGTAGGCCTACCAGCTTTCTCCCACTAGATATGAGGGCACTAGAATTTAGGCGTACTAGTACGTCAAAAACCCTGGGTCGTAAGCCGTACTAGTACGGCCTAAACCCTCAAAGGGTTAATTACAGCCTCTCCTCACTTAATGACGGAGCTCCATTCCTAAAACCATGTCGGTAAATGAATTCATTGCTAAGCAAGGAGCATACTCTAAGGGTAGTGGGTTTGTGTCAGCCATTTTTTATATTGTTTTAAATGTCACCTTTGCACCATTTATAACATTTTTAGTATATTTTTAAATGTTTATACAGTAGTGTACTATATTGTAATAACAGAATAGAGGAAATCAGCTCTAATATAGTATTAATGTTGGTAGAATTACTGACAGTATGTTAGGCAAAAGGACAAGTGCACTAATGTGACTTTATTGTGCATACGTTTCGGTCTCCAGGAAATTCATCAAGCTGTTGCAAACAATACATGGACACAGAGCATATATATAGGCTTAGAATGAAGTGTAATAATAGTGGTGGTAGTAGTAGTAGTAACACATGTGGAAGGACAATAACTTGCACATGAGTAAAAGGTTATAAAAGCTATTACTTGGGTAGCATAAAAATAAGTTAGACAATTATTTCTGTTAGTGGTTGGGTTTGAGAAGGCCTGTTTCAGTGTTCCTCCTGTGTTATGTTCTTGTGTAGTATTAGCAGCAGTAACTGTGTGATGGCAGTTTATTGTTTTGAGGAGGATTTCTGCTAATACTTGAGATGATGATGAAGCTGCCTTTATTTTGATTGATTGTGTTAGAAATGGCAATTAATGATGATTCAAGGCATTTACGTTTGCAGAAATATATAGACACAAAGGGTATATGAGCCTATATATACCCTTTGTGTCCATGTATTGTTTGTAACGGCTTGATAAAGCTCCTGGAGAGCGAAACGTTGCCACGGTAAAATATCACATCAGTTGCAATTGTGTCCTATTACCTAACTGCTCTAATATACATTTAGGCATGCATACTGGTCAGAGAGCCCGTTGTAAGTCTGAGTCGTCAGTAAATGAGTACATCGCTAAGTGAGGAGAGGCTGTATATCCTTGGTAACCTCACATTGTCTCCTAATTTTTGCACTTCATATTCTCTGCATAGTCACAGCACACATTGCTCGTAAATATGACATAACTGCCTCCAGCCTCCTCCTTATTGCATCATTTCAAGCCCATGCCTCTCACACGTAAAAGTGTTAGTGTCACAACACTCGAGGGAATTTTCCTTTTTGTCTCCATTGATAAATCACAAAAAAAAGGCCTCTGTCCATCATGACATAAGTACATTTGAAAGCTAACATCAACAGACCAGACGAGGAGAATGGCCTTGCTTGTGCAGGTGGGTTCTGTGTTGGCTTTTTATTTAGCTTTTGCTGTAACTGCTGTTGAACCAGTAGTTTTTGCTAATGTGTCACACAGTTAAGCTAAACTCACGTAAAATGTGATAGTAAATTACTCTCCTTGAATGTGGTAGTAAGCTACTCTCTGGTATCACTTCATATGCTTAGTTTTATATTTGCGATACAAGACATTGTCAGTTTTGTACATATATTTTACTTTAGTTTCAAATAAAAATATTTTACAAGTTTATTCTAATTAGAATACCTTTATAATTTGCAATATTTAATTGTCTTTAAAGCCTTAAGTAAAAACCTGTACACTTATTTCTAAAGCTATTGTCAACTGATATTTTTCCTATGATTTCCATTATGCATTTTTTATGTAAATAAATGGCTGTAGATTAATGCCATTATATAAATATGCCTCTTATTGTCATTATGCTGTATTATGTACTGCAGTCAGACTTTATGATTTTTATTGATATAAGATAAAAGAGCCTTTTTTTTTTTTTTTTTTTTTTTTATTTGCAAAGTAACATACAGAATGAGGTTGAGAAATCTAGTAAAAAAAACAAAATACCGGTGGTAATTTTTTGCAACACTCATTTTTTATTTCTGGCTTAAAATTGTTACAGTACTTATAAAAGCTACAATATTTGAAGTGATTGATAAATAAGTCCATATAAAGGTACCAATAATGAGTTGTCTGTTGTATATGTTAGAGTTACAAATCATTAATATGGGTGAGTGGTAAACAAGTTATTAAAGAAATTATTAGCTGGATGAGAACATGAAAATAATACTCTAGTAAGACTAATGTAATACAATAGGGCCCCACTTACATGGCAGGTTAGGCTCCAGGCTACCGCCAGAAAACGGGCATCACCAGAAAGCAGAACGGCAATTTTTTTTTCACTTAATGCAT